TCGTTTTACATATCATTCGACGCGCAATGGTGCGAGGAATCCGATGGTGACAAAGTTTTCCGTCTAGCTATAGCATGTATTTTTTTACAAAAAATAAATAAAAAAGATTGAAATTTCTGGACAAAAACGACTGTTAGAATTATAGTGGCTGCGATTGCCGACGCACTGCAGAGGGCCCCTGTGCAGACTCTCGTCGCTCATGATCATTACCCAGAAGAAGGTGAAAAACGCTCCATTTGAATCGGATCACCTCGCTAAAACCTCCATTCACGCATGCATGCCGAGGTTTTACGTGAAATGCATAGGGCTTATCCCAGCCGCCGATTGTAGCTAAGAATTGGGCATTCGGCGGAGACTGAGAGAGAATGTCGGAAGTGTGAATCGGAAGTAGGTACATCATTCATCCTTGCTGCAGTGAGAAGAAGTGTTTTGTTCACTCGAGTGTGAACAAAAAGTTTCTGGTTTTTCGAGTGAAGGGAAGCGCTGCAAACGCGACCAAAAATATTTAACGGAACCAAAAGTTACGCACGGCATAGCGGCAAAGGATCCCTTAGAGATAGGATTGCGACTTCCAGGCCATTTCAGGCCACCTAGGGTCAGTGTGGACTCTCAGAAGCCTGCTTAGGATCCCGGAGATCGGCGTGGGTCACCCCAAATATTTACGTGTATGTGGTGCTTTAGGGCTTTCCGAGCCTAAGGTGGGCCCGGAAAGCCCTTTAGGGCACACGGGCTTTCAGAAGCCAGTGTGGGCGGCGGGCGCTAAGAGACTAGGCCCAGGGTGAGCCTGGAGCCCTCGAATAACAGTGTGAACCGTCGGGGTCTGTGTCGAATCCTTAAGGACCCTACGTTGGTAGGGACATAAGAAACATGTGTTGCGGCCCTCAGAGGGACACGTGAGTTGTGACCCCTCAGATGCCGGGTTGGGGTTAGTAAAGTCGGTCGCCTCAAAAGTTCGGCTGAACTATCAGAGGCCAGTTGAGGTTTTCAGAAATTTTCGAAGGCATCCTCAAAGATTCGTGTGGCCCTTCAGAGGTCTACGTATGTATAATGTCCGCAAAGATCCCTGTATGGGCCCTCTAGAGAACATGGACACCAGTGGGACTCTCAGAGGCCGGTTTGGGCCCTAGAATCCTGTGTGAAAAGCAGGCTCATGAGCCCTGCGGCACTTGAACGGTACTTGTGCCTGTCGCAGACATTTGACGAGAGTTGAGAAAGGCCCCGAAGATTTCGTGTCACGCTTTGAACGAAAATTATGTGTCAGCACTCCAAAACTTATGAAAATCAGCTGCAAAATGTAATAAAGAATCAACTAGGAACATGGCATGAATCATGGCATTGACATTTCCGAGTCTGGAGTCGGAGTCTTGAAGATTTTGGCGACTGCGACTCTGACTTTGGTTTGAACTGCACGCTCCAACAGAGTCTGACCTCACAGGCATTCTCAGAAAGGTACCCCCATTTTGCCCCGACTCCAAAATCTCATCGGATCTGTATCGATCTCAGGGGGTGCCCGGTCCGAGGTTGGGGGGGCAAGCTGCCCCGCTTGCCCCCCCGTGGCGACGCTAATGTCTAAGGGGCTAGTGCATTGGTATGCCCCCTTAGAATTTGTGACGTCAGCGGAGATCTAACGATTTTAAAATCTTTTACTAAAACGTTTGGTAGCACGCGGTGGTATATGCTGCTTTGCGCGCAACAAATGCCGCACTTTCAAATAAAGTCGCTAGGAACAGCGGAGATCCCAAAAAGTAAACAAAAGTAAAAGTCTAATATCTTGAAAACCGGTGAATATTTTTCGATGAAATTTGGTAGATATTCGTTTTCGCTCTTTCTGAACCGAGTGACATCACTTTCATGCCAATTCATAAACTTTCCTGAAGGTGGGAGGGTCCCTTTAAGGGAATAATCTGCATAAGAGAATGATTTCAGAAAAAAATGATTATCTTTGCCCAAAATGATTGTTGAGGTTGTAAAAGCTCCTGATTTATGCTTGTTTTCACAAACTCAGCTTATGCTACAAAACTGCTATATCAGTTTGAAACTCCATATTAAAAGTGGTTTATTTCCTTCAAGTCCGTAGAACTAAATGTTAACCCGCGAGTTGCTGGGGGGGGGGGGGGGCGTTAAACGCCCCCACTTTTTTCGCCGGGCCATAGCATAAAAACGGCGCGCCGCAGGCGCGCCAAATTTTGGGTACCTGTAGGGAATTGATTGAAGCTTATTGTGACAAAGTTTCAAAAAAATCGGTCGGAAAATTTTTGAGATATCGAGGTTTTAGTGACGTCATGATTTCTGAGTTTTCGACCAAAAACGGCATATGTTCAAAAAATCATATAAAATCACAGAATAGACATATAGACATGCCGTAAACGCCATTAGACTGCCAATACCATGGATAATCAAATGGCTATCTTCGATTATTGATTATCGTTCTGCATTTTCCAAAATCCTGAACTGAATCTTGGCAATTTCTCGTGACTACTTCACGACCATGATACATGAATTTCTTAAATTGAACTTTTTTAGCCAAACACGTACACATATGATAAAATGAATGTCACCATCGTGTTCTACGCCCCAAATTACCCATAAAACATGTGTCACAGGCTGCGAATATCAGTTTTTATTTTCGGGGATATGTGCCTGCCCGGTTGACCTGACCTTGACCCTGACCTATGCTTGACTGACCCCTGCATGGAGCTGACACTCTTGTAGGCCTTATATGATGGATTGTGCACCGTTTTGACAGAGCTTATGACGAGAGGCGCCCATTGCGAAGTCCTGAAGTCCATGCTACTGAAAGCCCGATTTCAGGTGTTTGACCTGACCTTGACCTGACCTGTGACCTCAAAATTCAACTTTAAAGTACTCATCTGAACCGTCTCGTCGCGTTCTTTCGTTTGCCGCCTCGTGCGTTTCGCTGCGCCTATTGGTTCTCGAGTTATTGGCTGGGGGCGTTTAACGCCCCCCCCCCCCCCCAGCAAACGGTGGGTGGCGAAATACCCCAGCAACTGCCGGGTTAAGTGAAGTTGAGGCATGTCTAAATGTATCAAAAGTCATGCCCTCAGAAGATCAAAGCACAACCTTATCCTAAAATTGTCTACTTTTCCAATAAATTTCAAAGTTTCATATTTTTGAAATTTCAAGTTTCAAAAATAAGTTTGATAAGCTGCACTGGGCCACAGTTTCCTCAACCTGATCCGAAAGTCTTGTCATGATGTGAGCACCAAACAGACCTGGTCTGACACCAGCTCACGAGACTAAACCTAAACCTAAATTTGCAGGGATCAGAGGCCAGAGCCTTTGTATGTTAATTATAACATGATTTGAGATGATTTTTTTCAGGTGACTAGTTGCATTTGCGCACAACCTGCATGCTCACAATAGGTAGATTTGAGCTATCATGGAAAACAAAGAAGTGACTGAGCCTGAAATGAAAGGATGGCTTTACAAATGGACAAACTATATAAAAGGATACCAGAAGCGATGGTTTGTTCTCTCCAATGGTCTTCTGTCATACTACAGGTAAATAATCAATGGAGCAGCTGGTAATTTTGTAATTGTATTGTGCTGGTATGTCCAATGTCCATTGTCCATTGTCCAAGCTGGGTCCCATGTGTAGTGTGCTCCCTGCTGGCATTTTTATTCTTGATCCTGATCTAGTATGCCAATGTTCTGTTACTGCTGTCTGATGCTCCTTGATTCACTAACCTGCTGGTATGTGCTGTCCCGACTCCCATTACCCTTGTCTCCAAGTATCCTCCTAGGTGCCATCGTGCTCTCCCATTAGTGTGTTATCCACCACCCGACCTACTGACACATCCTGTATGGTCTGCAGAACTCAGGCCGAGATGGCGCACACATGCCGTGGCACCATCAGCCTGCATGGCGCGGCCATCCACTGCGAGGATTCGTGTAACTTCATCATCTCGAACGTCTCCAACGGGGGCACGCAGACATTCCACCTGAAGACGCCCAACGAGATCGAGCGCCAGCGCTGGATCACGGCCCTCGAGCTGGCCAAGGCCAAGGCCATCAGGGCACTCGACTCAGGTGAGGCACTGTGGCGCGGCAGAATCGGGGAAAGAGTACAGACGGTTGGACGGACACTTTGCTACGATGACTGATTTTAGGCGGGGAAATGGGTGCCGACTACCGTACCAACCAAAACAGCCCGGTGCCCCTAGAATCTAGTCGTCTTCAGTGCAGGCCCTGCCTGATGGTCGAAGGATTTTTGTTCCTGATCCAGTGTCACGGAAAAGTGGACATGTCCAATGAAGACGAGTGGTTAAACAACAAGTGGCATTCTGGTGGCGGTATCTTGGCAGTCTAAGGACTCCCGTGTCCGTTAGTTCTGATGTCCGTTCCTGGTCCTGCGATCCTCGCTGCCCGCCGATCCGGGCGCAGGTCACGGGCGTGACTCCCAATCTAGCCACGGGGCCCGACTGGAATCCCGAATATGTAAAATGACGAAAGCGAGCCGGGTGACGGAGTCCGCCTTCATTGTGATGGCTCCGATATGCGCTGGCTGGCGTGGTCCGCCGCTCATAATTCCGGTCCCAGATATTGACGGCCATCGACCGGGCCGGCGAGCGGAGCGCTCCTCCTGGGCCCATCTCTGGGCGACGGCCAGCCGGCTATTTGACGCCGGGTGCCGGACCGAACCCTGTATTACGATAGTCGGCCCCCACAGATGCCACCGCCTGTGTCGGCAATGTGACTCCCAGACTGTTAATGGAAAAGTCTCAGGTTACATCTCTTTATTTGCGTTGCGGAGCAAGTTTGCATTCATCCGCTATACTTTGTTACAGTCGTTGAAGGAATCGGAGCGATCGGGACGATGCCTTTTGATGTAACATCGCCTTGGTAACATCGGTAACATCGAACAGTTTTCATATTCGGATGCGTTTAATCACACACAGCACGTGTTGTAAATTAGTTTGCTCTCGCGATTTTGAACCATCTCATTCCCAAGCTGTCCCTAATTCAATATACCCTGAGCTGTCCAGTCGTGCCCCCAGCTAAAGTCTTAACTTGGTCTTAACCTCTTTCTTTTCAACAGCATCGTCGATTTATCGAGTAGTAAAGTAATCGTCGATTTATCATCCTTCAGTATGCTCTTTGGGTTCCCAAGCCATCCCTGTGCTAACTGCTAACTAACTAGTATAACGCCAGTGGTTCTAAAACACAAACTAGTTGTTGCCTAATTTCCATCTGCTATTTACCCATAAATTTGTATGTTTGACGATCATATTGAATTAAGCACGCTACAGTGATAAACGCCTAAGAATACATATAAGCAATATAACGAATTAAGATCATCTCTTGCTTTATGTTTCCCGGACACTTGATGCCCTGGATCTCATGGTGCTTTGTTTGTGAAAGAAGTGCAAGTTATCTTAAACGGATCCGCATAAATTATCTTTTGATGTGTAACACAATGCAAGCTGTGGTAGCGAGATCCCCATATTGATGCGGCCCTATGTATGCTGCATTCTTCCAGAAGAAGATGATTTCTACGAAGAGGATTTACCTGGCAAGGGTGACATAATTTGCACACGTTTTCCCACCCTTGCTTAATAATTCGTAACTTTATTTTGATCTTGCTAGTCAGAATGGCAGGTATCGCTGTCATCAGATAAGTTACATGAATAGTTTCCGAGTTGCGCTTTTTTTGGCTGCATCCCTGGAGTCTGTTTGCACGACATACTGGCTATCAACGCTTCCTGTTTCTTTCTCTGACAATTCGTGCTTTATTTGAATCATACATTTGCTGCTTTTTGTGCAGTACTTCAGAAATGGTTCGATTAAGTTGGTCGCTACTCGCTACTTTGCATAGTTCGATGTGGAGAATGAATGTCTTGAATGGTCTTCATCATTGTTGGTGCACTGTTACGTTTGACACGTTTTGAGGCCTGCCTCCTGCTCTCCCCACGCCACGACTCCAGCGCAGAGTTATCATCCTAACCCCGGTACTGATGCGGTTCCAGAGGAGGACGGCTACGACGAAGAGGAGGAGCCCGACAAGGGCGACATCCAGGCGGTGATCAGCACGCTGAACGCCAAGCTGGAGGACTTGCAGACGTGCCATGACCTGATCGCCAAGCATGCCTCCACTCTGCACAGGTCAGTGTTGCCGCCCATCCCTCCCCTCGCCTGCCTCCATCGGTCTCTACTGTGATCGAAAGTGGGATGGAATTCCGGTGACTTTACTTGCATTTTGATATTCGAAGAGGGCTTCGATCTCATGAAAAGCTGTCAGGTGCAGGGCGTCGTCGTTACTAAGTGACTGTGGCGGAAAATAGGTACGGTCGACTTCCCTGCCGGGGCACACTCGTTTAAAAGGCAAGCATTGAAGTGACATCGCGTGCAGAACAGGTGATTGCCGGTGGGTTCATAGTGTGTTGGCGAAAGGTCAAGAACCTTTAGATATCTGACCTATCGCGGTTATAAGTGAATGACGGCAGCCACGTGGGTCCCGCCGTCGATCGCTTACGTCACCGATCGTAGTGATATCTGCTCAGTGCTCGATATCGGCTTGTCTTGTATTACTCGTCTGCCACCTATTGAAATCAGTCCAAATCGGGCCAACATGAGGGTGACTTCTCGTTTCCAAACAATGGTTTGTGAGAAGAAGAGGCCAAAGATTATGGAACGAATAAGATATCCAATAGACGGACACGTACCGAAAACGCCTTTTTTTATCTCCAAAGGTTAAATGGGAGTTGGTGGAGGCTGGAGCCATTGCAGCAGCTGGCCCGATGTTTTCCATTGTATTCTTTTAAAATACAAGTTAAATATATGGAACAATACATATGACTGAATGCAAAAATAAAATGCATCGGTAAATGTAAATGCCGTAGAAAGAAAGATAGTGACATATTGATGGCAACTGGCTGTCATTTCTACTTTAATTCACATTTAAAGGACACACAAAGCTACTTCATCAAGTTAGTGCCATTGAGTCTTTTGTGGGAGAGCTTCTCTTGGGGGCCCATTCATGTTCAATGTTTTGGGTCTGGGTACACGTGGACCGCTCGTTTCTCCGCAGTACGCAGCATACCGTAACCGTCAGTCAGTCCGGCAGCACTCTGACAGCCGTCGCTCCGCGCCCCGACCGGCCTCTGTGCGCCTGTGTGACGTCACACCACACCGGCCGGTGGTGTGACGTCACTCCCAGCCGCGTCTGTTCACGGTACGGGCCGCGGCCGGTCGGTGTGTGGGCCGGCCGGCCGTCGGAATTATGCGTGGGCCGCAGCCGCTCCCTGACTGCAGACTCACTGCAGACGTGCTCGGTGTTTCACGTCATCCCCCCACTACCCCGTCTGGCACCGCGCCAACTGAACTGTCGGCCTTGGACGCTAGAAGTTTTAGATGGACAAAAAGGTGAAGACCAGGGTCGGTCACTGCGATCGATTTTGTCGTTCCCATCCAGCAAGAGTTTTGCCGGCGGCGATTTTTTACGCACTTCATAAAGAATTATTATCATATCATATCCAAATATTACCAGTGTCGACTTTCGATCGGGTGGTCGGCAGTGACTGGTTTCGGTGTGTGACCCGCTCAGGGGTCCGCCATTAGCATGTGGCCATTAGCCGGGTCCCTGACCGCCCCGGACTGCGGTCAGCGGTGCCTGGACCCAAGGTCAGCAGGTCTCAGTCAGCGGGCCCGGGCTGTATATGAGGATATTTCGAGTTTGGATATCTGCATCGCATAGCCAGTGTGGGCGGGAAATGACATCAGCAGTCAGCGCGCATTGAAGCCTTAATAAACAAGCAAACAAACGCTCAGCCAGTGGTGTGCGAAATTTGACACTCGCCACTGGAGCCTGCCAATGAACTTGATCGGAGCGTATTGGGTCGCATTGTTCTGAGCCCTTTGTATTGTCTTTCCGTTTAATCACGCGTCGTCTAGCTCTTGTTCATGCTAATAAATGTTGATTGGAAATTCTGAAGCTGCAAGAGTCGTTTGTGTACTGGTTACCGTTATGTAATGCTTTGTTATCCCACAGCACATGCGCATCCCTACTCGACATGTTTCTAATGTGATTACTGGGCCAAAACAAATGTTAACTGTAGTGATTCATGCTGCATTATCGTGGATTGGATAGCATTCCGGCTGTCATTCCTGATTTTCTCATTTTTTTGGAGTCGGCGGTGTAGGTAATCGATGTGTCTGGAACTTGAATCATCCTCATCAGCCGTGCTCCTGGACTTCCGTACTAGCTCGTCGTTTTTTATATCCTCCACGACACCCGGGCTCTACCGGCGACCGGCTGACGTCCCGCTATCACGGACCGGTCCGTCCGCCCGAAAAGACACCGGGAATAGCGGCAGTGGTAGCGCTATCTCGCCGTGCCCCGGGCGTCGGCGGCGGCGCTGATACCGCCCCGCCCCGCCCCCGCCCCCGCCCGTCGCCGTGACGTGTCTCTGCCCATCAGATGGCCGGCCGTGTGCGTGACCCCGGCCCGGGCTACCGACCGGCTGCGTGCCACGCCTCAGCCGCCTGGCCCGGTAGTGGGTGGTTGTAAACACTGTCCAGTCCCCACTCTCCACACATGCGTGCCGACATGCGGCCGGCGTCCAGTGTATGATCAGTGGTCATACCTTGTCGAGACTGCCCGCTGTCGTGTCGTAGCGGTACCGGGGATATATGAGGGGCGTGTGTGGTTGTGGGGTCGGTGGTGACCGACGACATGCGCCCCCGCGTGGCAGCGGAACGGGCACGACTCGCCGTCTCACTCGTGACTCTGACTCGTGACTCTGGCTGGTGACTCACTGCAGCCCGACCCCGCCGAGGTTGCCCAGAGCTCGTTCATGCTACTGGGAGCGACTGCGAGTCCGTGGCGAGTAAATAGGTCAGAGGTCAGGGCTGCTTCGTAAAATGGCAAGTCCGTCCTGAGGTAACTGAGTCTGTCGTACCTCTGTCAGTTAAAAAAGAATGTGAAATGTCCCCGGTCGCCTGACATATTGGAATACAGGTATCGGCTCACATTTGGTATCGACGGGCGAGGAAATATTTTCGAATGGTTTCAATCTTTTATGCTGCATCATATGGACGCGTCTCCATTCTGGAGCGCCGATGGTCAATATAGCCATTAGCCAGGGCGTCCCTAAAAGCCAAACACTGTCATAATCGTTTTGTTTCTGTGTTGTTTCTTCAAAGAAGTCTGATGTAGGTCACGTAGCTATATACTACTCGTAAATGCCAGCCTCGCATTGTTTCGAAACCAATCTCATTGTTTTTTTGTTATTCACGCTAGATGCCAGTTTGTAAGAACGGCGATACCCCATAAACACGACTTTTGCCAGCCATGGTCTGGGGAAGGCGACGGGACTGAACCCGGCTGTAACAGAGTCGCCGTTTTCATCGTCCGTCGGACAGGGAATGTTGAGCGGTGACCGGTGTAGGCCACTGGGGTGCGGTGAATCGTCGGCGAATGGTGATGGGTGAACAACGAGTGACGTCCGGTGACCGGTGACCGATGTGCACCGTGCACTATGACCTCCTTACAGTCCGCTGGGGTGCCGCAGCGTCTCCGTCCACCCCGATAGAGCAGATACCGGTAGTACGTGACCCTGCGGCTCTCATCATAACGCTCGACAACTCACGATCGATCACGCTTTCAGCCGGCGACGGTTGGACGGCTGGACGGCCAGGCCGCGCCGGTGACGGCCCGCTGTCCCCGTTTCCAGGTCGCTGGCTGACCTGGAGAACACGGAAAGCACGCAGGAGGTCACGGCCAAGGTCAAGCAGGTCAACGAGCGGGCCACCCTGTTCCGTATCACCTCGACAGCCATGATCAAGGTAACGTCCCGCCCCCCTCAACTGTCGCGACTCGAGCTCGCCGTGGGTATCTGTGGTAAGTCGGTGATAGCCGCGGAAACGCTGCGGCCGCGAGGCCGCGGTCTTTGGACCCAGGGATCCCCTCCAGCTGCGGTCTACATTTTGTGTTTATTCTAGCTCCCGGTGCTAATCTTTCTTTATCCGGTGTTGGATTTCGAGCGGAAGGTCTATGCCTCTATCTAGCGCCGCGGACGTCTTTCTGTTATCGCGGCGCACCATCCCGCGTTATTTTGTCCCCGACGTTCGTTATATCTGCGGCATACCTTGGATCGATAACTGCGAACTTACTGAGAGCGCCGTCGATGCCGCCCGCGCCGCTGCCGTCGCCGCCCTAGTCGCGCTGCCTGACCGCGCGCGGCCGGGTGCAGGTAGATTGAAATCGGCGGTGGCTCAGCTCAGGTAGATAGGGAGCGCGGTGTGCTGCGCGGGTGAGAGCGGTACCCAGTTGTGCCGTGGTGCAGGAGTGCAGAGATAGCGAGATCAACCGGTGATCTGGGTCTATTCTGGTGTTTGCGCTGGTTTTGGTGCTGCTGTGGCCGGAAAGTGACATTTGGGGCCGTGTGGTGTACGCTGCGTTACGTGGTGCTACGTAGTGCTGGTGCTAGTGTTAGTGCGCTGTTGGTGTCACTCTGGTGTCGATCAGAGGCGACGGTTACCTGGCCACACCAACCGCACTGAGAGAGCCCGCGAGTGTGTGGCACCACTATCAGCACCCTCAACCGTCCGCGTGTTTCCGCCAGGCGTGCGCAGACTACCGGGACCTGGTGCAGACGCACGGCCGCAAGTGGCAGCGCATGTTCCAGCACGAGCGCGAACAGCGCAGCCGCCTGGAGCAGATGGTGGAACAGCTGGCGCGTCAGCACTCGCACCTGGAGCAGGAGGCCAAACAGCACGAGGTCAACAAGCAACTCAGCAAGAAGGACAGCCTCACGGGCGGTGAGTGGTCGCGAACGGGCGGACGGCCGGCCGGCGCCGAGTGCCGGTAGAGGGCGGGCAAATCGGCGACGGCTAAGAGAGTCTGAGGATTATTCTCATGGGGATTGTCGATGTTGGATTAGAGACGATAAGCTTGTGGTATCTGCGTTTTGATTTAGTCCTTAGTTCAGCTCGTTCATGCTTATCGGTTTTTGTTTGCGACGTTTGCTTGTTTCTCTTATTGCTATTGGGCGCGATATTAATTCATGATTTACTTAATTTGCGATTCATGTCCATCAGTCGTTTTTCTTTGCAATTTGTAAATGTAGAGCGCTAGAACGCTTGGCTCTTTGGTATGACATGATTTCCTCAAAGCAACGGGATGCTACATTCGAGCTGAGAGGAAGGTGGCCCAGACATACTGGCCACCATAACAGTAATTGTGGATAGTTTCCGTCCTCCATTTGTGTTTGTTGACCTCGAGCTGTGCCTCTCCAGATCACAAGATCGCGCTGCCTCACCAAGGTAAACACAGTTAACTCAGATTGTACATTTGATTGCCTGCCGACCCGACCAATTGATTTCCCCGGGGTATCTTGGTATGACACCACTAACTACTTTGCTTACCGACCCGGGTATGCGAAACGTCTCACGTTTGCACCTTGCTGAGGTTTTTGACATTGTGTATAGCCAATTTGACACTTTTGCTCATGACTTTTTGGGCGCTTCGACTTGGTGCAAGCACTACGAGTATGTGTTCTTCTGCGTTACTTTGAGGTGATTTGGCTATTTCAGTCATTTGTATAAAGGTATCTATTATCTAAACATGTATGTACATTCTATTCTAGTTAGAATATGCGGTTAACATATCATCTGGTGGTGGTCTTCATTAATCACATAATCTTGCAATTTTCATGAAGCAACTTTTTGGGAACGCCTTGTCGCATCTCTGCACATCTTATTCAAAGGAAGGAGCTATCCATTTGTTCTGTTTAAGCCGATTGTTGTATGATTGAAGCATCAGTCTGTCAACGTATCGAATTCGGCTTAGCCTTGAACATCACAACAGTAAGCTTTGCGAAATGTAATGAGTCCTGCTTCAAAAGTCCATGTGCCATTATCGTTAAAAGGCATTCATTACTTACGGTACGAATCCCTTCAATCATAAGGTTTTTAAATTGTGCTAGGTTGCAGTGAATGAATGCATAATGAATTGCAATGCGTCACAGCCCAAGTGTACACTTATAGGATACCATTCACATGTATCACTTTGCTCGCGTTGTTCGCCAGCACGGTACCTTACCACGGGTAGTGAAGTTAAATACACGGTAGATACCTGCTCACGTGTCGCTCGATAGCTGGGTCTCCGTTATCTACAAGACATAAGCCTTCCTCACCAGTGACGATAGTTGCAATTGTCCTATCGACAACGGTCCTATCATCACCGGCCCACAAGCAGTTGCCAGAACCCACTGACGTCTTTTACTACTCTTACGTCGGCCCCTCCTGTTTTTCCCTTCCAGGGTCAGGGGTCTCGTTTCATAAAGCAAGTCCGTGACTTACGCCGGTTTTTGGGCTTGTATTGCAAGCGCATGTGAAGCGATAAATTTATTTCCCCTTCTCCTTCTGTTCTTGCTTGCAAGATAAAAAGATTCAACTATTCAAACTATCGTCATCGCTTCACATGCACTTGCAATACAAGACCAAAAACTGGCATAAGTTACGGACTCACTTTATGAAACGAGGCCCAGGTTTCATTTTCCAGTGACGTAATTTGTATTGTCTGACACCGCTGTTTTTTCCTCCAGCTGCCAGTATCCAGTGATGTAATTTGCCTTTGTCTTCTGTCTTTGACACCGCTGCTATTTTCTCTCCAGCCGCGAGTATCCAGTCGAGCGATGATGAGTTCGAGGATGCCGCGGACGACTTCGGAAGTCACTTCACGGTGGCGGTGCCGACCAACCACAAACGCTCGGGCAGCAACGTCTCCCAGGTGGGTGTCCTGACCGTGGTGCGAGCCGGCAGCGGTGAAAGGCTGAGCTTCCACTCAGCCTAACGCGAGAGCTTCGGCCTCAGGCTAAACATAAAGCAATAGTGATGGTGTCTACGTTTTAGTGGGATGAAACGCTTAATAAATTGGATGTCGTGCATTTTTAAATAACTTACGTTCGTTACGTACCATTACTTTTATTATCAACAGAGTTGATACTTATCTACAGCTATACGCGCGTGGTAACTGTTGTCAACATTGCCTCGTGTTTGATTTGTTGCCTTTTATTACGTCCCTGCCGCCTCTCATAACCGTGTGCGCGTGATGTGCTGTGCGGGCGAGCGGCGCGTCCTCGTGCGGCCAAAGAGCCGCGAGTGACCGGCCCGTGCTCTGTTCTGTGTGTGTCAGACGTCCGAGGGCCGCGACAAACTGCCCAACGAGTCCGACTCGAGCAACGAGGAAGACAACTCGGAGATGATCGGAGTCATCGCCCACAAGCCATCCAAACAAAAGGTAAGGGCCGCGCCGAGTCGGGTGATTCAGCGAGATTGTATGAGGGAGCTGCCTCTGTGGGAAGCAGTTCGCTATTCCAAACTTTCCTGTCGTTCAACACAGTGAGTTATGCTACATGTATAAGCTCCACGGGATTCCCCCGGTGGCAGGCAGTCCCGTGAACCTGACATTGCTATCCATTCTGTTCAATGTCGCATTACGCAGCCCCAGTGACAATGTGCGTTGACCCAGGTCCGTCCCTGATAGCCGTCACCCCGCCTGTCACCGTGCGCTCTGCGTATTCAGATCTCGGGACCGTTCAGCGTGCCATGGACGGGTGCATTAGCTGATCGCAGTTCCGGCTGACCGGCTGGATGTCATGTTTCCAGGTGGAGACACGCTGATACGTCCGTGTAGTGGGTGACGGGATGACAGGGACACTACGCGACTGTGCACGCTATGCTATCTGACTTCTGTGATGGGATTTCAGCATTCTCGTTTAGTACGCGTGTCTGCATGTGTTTGCGCTGATTCACATGAGAAATATTGATGCCAAGGTATTTTCTTCAAAGCTTCTTGAAACATTTTTCGTCACAGTCTTTACTTGACAAATATCGAGCAGACAGACAAGATTGACCCAGGTAAAACAAACTGACGCAGAAGAACATGTGATTTAGAAGTAGAAAGTGGGCTACACCGTAGACCTCGACTTCTTCTAGAGCCCAAACAACCTTGATTCTTGATTTTTTCTTCTCTACGGCTCTCCAGCTCACCCCCTTCCCTCAGTTGTGTCCGCTGGACGATTTTCCGCTGCTGTTTGCGTGCTGATCGCTGGCTGGCTCGATGCTGAAGTGGCACGTCCTCTCTGTATCAAGTATGCCGACTGGACTCGGTCGCGGATCTGCTCTGGCCGGACTCTGTTTTGGGTCTGACTAGCCTCGTTTTTGGGTCGACTCTGCTGGTCTGTGGACTCCGGCCGGAGACGTCCGTGCCACTCGGTCTGTCAGTGGTGGACTCCGGACCGTAGTGGGTACCGCGTGTGCACGCCCGCACCACCGGCGCCGGTCCGGCTGCGCTCCCTGTAACCGTACGGCAACTGAACGGGGAGGGGCACTCTGCATGCACCCCTCTCAGCCGTCTGTTTACACGTTGGAGCCCCGCCCTCCTCGAGTGACCAGCAGCGTCCAGGACGCCCGCTCACACACAGACACACAAACAGGCTGTGAGACCGAGACAGTCGGGTCGCCGCCGCGGACAGACGGCAGAGGAGCGGGCGCTGGCGGGCCGGACCAGACTCGGTCGACCCGGCTGGACGCGGCGACACGTGGGGTTGTCAGGGATCGGCGCGGCACGCACGCGGCATGTGCCTGTTCTTCTTCTGGAGCCGTCGGCGTCGCAGGACGCTCCGGCAACGGGTCAGTGAGCAGTGACCGGTGGTCAGTGGTCAGTTCGGTGGCCAGTGGTCAGTGGTCGTCGGTCCGGTGGTGGAAGCAAGTTGACGGTCAGTGTCAGCCGGGAATCAGTGCGACAGCGGTTTTTATTAGTGGAGCTGGGAGCGGGGTCTGTTTAGGTGGCCCAGGCAGTGGGCGAAATTGTTTGGTTGTTCGAGGTGTGGACTTTGAACATCGACCGTCGTCCGCTGGTGGTTAGAGACGGTGGATGGGTGGCAGGTGCTCCTCACAGGGGCAAAGATGTCCAGACTCCAGACTTTGTGCTCCGACGGGAAGTGAATATGCCAAAGCCGCAAATGTGTTGCGTAGAAAGACGTTTGACTGGGCGAATGGCAGTGAGCATCCCGCCCCTCTGCGGGATACAATAATTGCGTGCTAAGTGCCACTTCCTGCGAGTGTATGGTGATTGCACGCCGCGCTGGTATTGCATAATGAGCGGATGGCTTTGATTGTGGTGTTGCACTTTTTGCATCTCTCGTATCGTTTCTGGCAATACCTTCTTCTCTCTGCTACTTGCTCACAATAACGGCCGCTGTTATCCATCTCAGACGTTTTCCACATATGAAACTGCCTGTTATTGTCGCCGGCCTTCTGACCGGCCTGTATGGTAGCAGAGCAGTGTTTTGTTTGGGACCGGCGGGTCCGACCATGGCCTCGCCGGTCGGCGTGGCGTCGGAACTGAGCAGCTGGGGCCGGGTCTGTTCATCTGTGTGACCCAGTGCGGCTGGTGGAGCGGTGTCTCAGAGGCAGGGTCCGGGACACGCCGCGACGAATCGACTGTGGCGGACTGGGTGAACAGAGCGGCACTGCAGAGTCAGCGGTCTGTCCCTGCCGTCCATCCCCACTACCGCCGCCCGCCGCCGCGTCACCGTCCTATGATGAGACTCGCCGGGGAGCGGACTAAAATCAATCGGACCGGCTGATGTATTCTGTCCGGAGAGACCGGAGCGGGTTCGCTGAGCTGTCGTCCCAGGGGACGCGAACCAAAGCCGGTCTCACGTGACCCATTTGGCCCGCGACCGGCCTGTGACAGCCAGATGATCCTGTCTTTGAATTCAAATATCTAGCCAGGCTCCACGATATTGTGTCCGGGAGTGTCTCTTTTATCGATAACAAATGGCTCAAGGCCACATCAGGGGTGGGCTGGTTTCAGGTTGTGATCGCTGTTCATGAGTTTTAACGGCTTTGTGTGTCTTTAGTCGGATATCGTTATTATGTGGTTTTTGATATGACTGTATGCTGGTTTGCTCTCCTGAGTCTTGGATAAGGGTAATCGTGGATTACCAACCCAGTTCAGGGTTCACGCTTTTGCAGTCGCACACTTTTGCAATTCACTGCCATCACACACCCAAATGATAACAATGTAATCGTATTGACAGTCTTCTGACCAGTCGTCAGAAGGTGAGCAGCTTCTGACTTGGCTTGAACTTATGTCTTTTCGTGGGCCGTTCTACCAAAGAGGTTTTAGCCGGCCTGATGTGACTTGCTTTTACTTCACGTGACCTTACCCAGACTGTGGGGACCTGGCGTGATTTTCTGTGAGTGTATGTGCATTCAGGTGACCTGCTCTAAGCCTCTGCGCCTAACCGTGCCCTAACCTCCCCCTTTTTCGTCCCCAGCGCGCTCGGGACGGCGAGGCGGGCAACGGCGACTCGCCTCCATCCTTCTCTGCAGAGATGACGCACAAACCGGGCAAGAGCGCCCGCAAACGACGCACCACCATCCCGGATAAGCCCAACTACCCGCTCAACCTGTGGAGTATCATGAAGAACTCGATCGGCAAGGAGCTCACCAAGATTCCAGTGCCGGTGAGTGCCGCGGGGCGTGTATGAAGAACAAGTGCTGGTGTGTTTGAAGGGGAGCTGACATCGAGAGAAATGAACACAAGGATACTGGGAAAGCGCCTTAGTCAAGTTCCAAACGTTGTTCGTGTGAATTCAGAGGTGTCTTGTCATAGAAAGCGATTACTGATTAGATGCATTGGTATGCTAGGCCTTGCCTTCGCAATCATTCACCACGTCCCGTACTCTGACCCTCCCTCTCCCATCTGTTCTGACAGGTGAACTTCTCCGAGCCTCTATCGATGCTGCAGCGCCTGACAGAGGACTTTGAGTACAGTTACCTGCTGGACCGCGCCGCCGAGTGTGATGACCCCTGCGAGCAGATGTGCTACGTGGCAGCGTTCACAGTCAGCGCGTACGCCACCACCAGCCAGCGGTCGGGCAAGCCGTTCAACCCGCTGCTCGGCGAGACGTATGAGTGCGATCGGAGAGACGACTACGGCTGGAGGGTGATCTCAGAACAGGTGGGTCCGCTCGGACGGCCGCAGGGGAGGGGAGGGGGTGGAGGCGGGGTGGTTAGGTGAGGTGGGGAAGGGTTGAATGGAGCATGCTGCTGACTGGGTCTAAGGGTGAGACCCTAGCGGCAGTGTACGCTAGCGGCAGTCCGTTACGTCCTCAGTGGGCAGAATGTGGGTTCGCAGAGGATTGCAGAGAGCGCTGGTGACGCTACGGCTCTCAGTTGGGCTCAGACAATATGTTCCGTAGCCGTGAGGGGTCGCTGCATCATTTGTCGACGGCTCAACTAGGTGTCTTTTCTCGATTTGTGAGTGGCATTTGTCCGTAGCATTGGTCGAGGATTAGAATGGGTAAGATGTGTATTATCGGCACCTCAGTTTGCTGAAAACTGGCATTTATGGTGAGCTCGTTAGCAGCTGTAGGAAGCCAGCATTCCTTCTATGTCTGGATTCGCATCGTGGCTTTTGGTAAAAATAGTTTTTTGCATATAAATATTTAACGATCGGCCGTTACGATAGGGTTGAAAAACAAATTGGAGGATAAGATTGATTGGTTGGAAGTGAACAGTGAGCACGTTATTGTTACACGTTATTGAACACGGTACTAGGCCTTACTTGGAGGCGCATTGCCATGTAGTTACGTCACATTGGAGTTTCGGCTATTATTCCGCTTTTTGACGCTGGATCTATGCAGTATCTATTTATTTATGCAATATGCATGGGGCGTGCTCAATTCAATTTTGACTCAGGCGCATTCACTATTTCAAAACACATCCAGTTTGGATCCATGTTTGCATACCAAACTGTATTGTTTTTCCTGTGCTACTTTTACCCATGTCTTGTTATGGAACATAGGCCATCGGAGGTGCTTGTAGATAGAAAGTCTTCACTGTAGTATCTCCCAAAACACCCATTTAGCATACAGTATCTCTGAAAATAGCCTGCCGCGAACCTGTCGCGTGACCGGATTTCCTTTCGTGAAACCTGTCGCTCTGAGACGCGTCCATCATTATCTGTCGTCAGTGACCAATAACCACAGCCGGCTGTGACCGGGCCGCTCGCCAGCTGACCACAGTATGCACAAATGCGTGCTGATGGTCACTTAATTACCCGAAAACTAGCAAGGGGCACTGAACGTAACGTGGCTGTGAGATGGACATTGGACGAGTGGGCGATAGGAAAGTCAATGGTGGGCACTGAGCGGCGAGCAGTGGTGGGAATGGTTCCAATGGTAGGATGGACGAGATTATCCTATCCTATGCTATCCTATCCTATCCTATCCTATCCTATCCCATGGAAGGAAAATCTTATGGATGGGTTCGAGCCTGCTTGGCTGTGATGTTGATGAGGTGCTGATGGCAAGGATGAAGGCGCAAGATAAGGGCCATTTGACGGTAGAAAGAAGATCGTTGCCTGTATGTTACATCACGGTGTTACGTTACCGAACTCTTTCCAATATAGCTGACACAGGTAAATGATCGATCATTCTCGTCATCTTGCTTCTCATTGCCGAATTTCAGTTGTGTGTGGGAAAGCCATGGCTGAAATAAATCCCTGTCCGACAGTGCCATTGCGACGTAAGACAAACCAAAACTCTTGCGCCTGCTTTGACGTAACCGCTTGCACTCGTTCATCGCCTGCGAAAGCTCTGTCTCCCCACCGATGTCGTTGCGCTGGCTAAGTGGTGTTTTGCGCCACGATCTCCGGTGGTGTTTTCAGCCACGGGAGAGCGGGTGGACACTGGACAGTGTCCAGATGTGGTGGTTTCCGGACGGTCACCGATGGCTGCCGTTCGCTGTTACACAATCCTACTGTCTCTGTGTCTCGCACGCTCGGTGCTGAGATCGGTCACGAGTGGGTTAGAGAGAAGGGAGGTGTGCGTGGCTGTGTACCATGCTAGAGTGGGCATTGCACATTTTCGGGTGTCTGCCTGCGTCCACTTTGACACCTTTCCCAATACCCGAGCCGAGTCGTGTTGCGCATGCTTTCCGTTCTACGCACGATGCAAGTGAAAGAGTGAACAACTTTAAGAACTGAAGCCCGGTCGATTTTTGCGACGAAAACATTAGAATAGGTGCGCGTGCTTATCGGTTTCTGATCCGTACACCGGCCGTCTAGATCTTATCGGCTCGGTTATGGGTTATGTTTTTGGTTAATCTACTGCGTTATGCGTTGCCTGCGCGCTGGCCGCGCTACCGCACTACTGCGACTCGTACCGCCATTTCAAAACACAATGCAGCAAACACATTATAATGAAACCAATCCAGCCTTTCCTGCTCTGACACTTGTAGGGCCATTTTGCTGCTCATTAGTGTTCTTTGTCAGTTGTGGCAATTCGTTTTTTTTTTCGTAGATTAGTGATTATAAAGTCATCCCGGACTCCCTAGAGAGCGGATGCTTCCCAGGCTATATTGCCCGACGCGGTGCTGTCATGTCGATGCGTCCCGCCCCGTCGTCACGTTTTGTGACCATGACTGTGTGACGCGTATCGCGCTGGCCGCACACACGGCTCCGTTTCACTTTCCCTGGGGACGCGGCTGGTGGTAGCGTCCGATCCCGGGTGCTGGCTCTCGGCTCCCTTATTAGCACCGTCACGCCGCGCTGGCGTGCGTGACAAGACCGTCACTGGTGTGCGTATAGGTGCGCCTATGCAGTACGCAGTGTGCGTACCGGTCATTTTAAGAGCGGTGTATGACTTTGAAGCATCACATACTTCTTTGCGAGAAGTAGCTTGCATTTTTATTTTAGTGTTTGTTTATCGGTGTGCTTATAGGAGAGCTGTAAGATCAATACGTAGTGGTTCCATTCCGTGGGTTAGTGGAAGGCGTTGAAATATGGTGATAAATTGGTTGTGATACACCGTGTCAAATGATGACAAACGATATACCAAACTGGTCATTCGGTGTGGAACCGAGACGCTCCGACGCATTCGTTCGTGATGAAAGAGTTTGGAAGTCATTACACATTTCATTTATTTGACACGCCAGTGCTGAGCGTCCATATAACAATCAACATGTCACGATGTGTATAATACAATGGGATAAATACTCAGTAATGAGATAATGTAACGATTCAGGCTTATGATGAATGGCTAAGAGCTGAGCAGATAGCCTGCTAATCATATCTTCACGAGAGCTGAAGAGCGCGACATTCGGGGTAATATATGAACCTTACTCGTCACCTCTTAACTTCTCCGCATTAGGCTAAAATGTAAACGAAGCCTCACAAGGCCTCGAATTAGATCATCGTTGTGATGTATGATAAACCACATCTTCCGCCTACGAATGTTGCTGCCTTACAGCTAACCTCCCCTAATAACACCTCGTCTGTGACTGAGCGACATCAGCGTCGGCTCTGGCCCTGCGTCAGGCTGTGAAGCGCCATGGCGATGTGGTAGTAGGGCTGGTGCGCCAGCCCGAGTCGCTGATCCAGCTGCTGAACAGTGAACGGCCGGCGCCGCAGCTGGCTGGCGGCCGGCTCCGGCTCCCGGTCGGCGGCCGCCCGCTCGCCCCCGCCGCTTCTGCCGCGCACCTCGCGCAGCAGCTCGTCGACGATACCCTCCAGGTCGTTATCGTACTCGATGACGAGCTCCACGACGTCGTCTTCGTCGGTGGTGTCGTCACGTCGGGTGCCGCTCTGTGGGTTCTGCAGGTAGGCGGCTGTCAGCGCTGCCGTCCGGCTCGCCGGACTGGCGGCAGCGGGGCTGTACTGAGGGAACTGAGAGGAGACGCTGAATCCGCCCTCTGTCTCCGGGTACTGCTGAGGCTGCGGCTGACGCGGCCGCTGCTGGAGGGGCTGCTGCTGCTGGGTGACCTGCACGGGACGGAAGTGAGTCGGGTCTGCGCCGACCGGGACGCTGGGAGAAAACTGATCGGCCACGGAGAAAGGCGCACCGGCAAACTGCTGCTGACCGAACGGCGGCTGAGCGAGCTGCTGCTGGGTAAACTGCTGTAGATTTTCCAGCTGAGGCTGTTGGAACAGCTGATGCTGCTGCTGGAAGGTGTTCTCTTGCTGCTGAGTCTTCTGCTGCTGTGTCTCCCGCTGTTGTGGCTCCTGCTGCTGTTTAGGAGCGGTCTGCTGCTGGGAGTTGTTCTGCTGTTGGGTGTTTTTCTCCTGATCTTGGAAGTTGTCTAGCTGTGGGAGGTTGTTTTGCTGCTGATGCTGCGCGGCATGGCTGTGCTGTTGGAACTGCTGCGGCGCGGGTCGCTGGCGGTGTGCGCTTGGGCGGTGCGGTCCGGGCCGCTGCCGCTGCGGCTGCGGGCTGCTAGTGCCGAACAGTCGCGTCAGCATGTTATCCATGAAGCCGCGGCGGGGCGGCTGGCGGCGGCCCGGCCGGTGCTGCGGCACGGACGGCACCTGCTGCACGGGGAACTGCTGCGGACCGTCGATCACCGCTCCGCCGGCCGGCGGCTCGATCACGTACTCGGCGCGGTACTGCTGCGTCGGGGGTCCGCGCGGACGGCGGGACCCCTCCGCGTCCTCACCCAAATCCTGTCGGTCGGTGGCAGAATCTGCCGCCGCTGTGTCGTCGGTCGGAGGCTGGACGGAGAACACCCGCAGCCAGCCGCCGGACTGTTGACCACGCCGTGCTGTAGCTGACGTACTGGTCACCGCGGCCGGGCCCTGGGTGGCGCTCTCGGTTCCACTAGTCGGACTGGTCTCGGTGGCTCGGCGAGCGGCGGCCGGGCGAGCCACCTGTGTCGCTACCCAGTCGGACCCCACTGCTGTCCCGGCGTCAGGCTGGTACGTGTTGGACGTCAGCGCATTCAAGCGAGACACCTTTGAATCAGCGCTGGCGGCGGACTTGGCGGTAACTGCCGCGGAGGCCGATTTAGCTGCACCGGTGGCCGTTTTAGTCTCCGGTTTGTCGCTGGCCGTCTTCTGCGGGTGATCTCCCATGGCGTGCATGATGTTGGGCCAGAAACTGGAGCCAGAGCTGACGCTCGGCTCGAAGCGCCAGGCGGGTGTCACCGGCGGCTTTGGCACCTTCCACAGCGTAGGCGGCGTGC